GAGCCTCCTTAAAATCCACAGAGAAAAGAGATCTTCCAGATCCTGCCTCATAAACCTGATCTCACAAGAACTGTAGTGAAGATGACCGTTTGCAAGACTAGAACCTAAAGGGAAGATAAAGTGACAAGGAACAGGGTTGGGCCTTCTCCAATCAGAAAATTCATCCATCCATGAGATTCTGCTTCATATAAGAAATCTGTTGCCAATAGGGCAGACAGAAGGGCACCTTCAGCACAGCACTGTAAGTGCCCTGCCAATCAAACCATTCCATGGGCAAGGGGACATGTGGAGCCCGGTTTCCTATTTCACCTCCTCCCTGTACCATGCAGATTATCTGACACCAGTAATACAGTCTGAGCTCATACTGGAATCATCTGAACGTTAGGAGCATTAATTCAGATCTCCCTGCTGTATCCAGTGCCTGTTTTCCAGCAACCTTGAGGCACAAAGTACCTTTGAGATCTACCCATCCCCTAAGCCCTGCATTCTTAAGAAAGCAAGCTAAGAGACAAAGTAAAAAGCCCTGCCTTTGTCATCTGGGGAGTCCCCCAGAAAAAAAACAAAACCTCAATTCTCCTGCCAGATCAGTAGACAAACAATACTTGTAGCTCTTCAAGCTATTTGTTCTTCACTGGCACAACGAGGCAGACTGCCACCAAACCATCCTACCAAGGCAAGAAAAACCTATAGAAGTTTTGCAGAGACAGAAGGATCCTGAAAGAAAACCAACAAGGAACTTCTCTCAGGTAGGTAGATAGATTACTTCCCAATAAGAGAGCTTTCTGCATCTACTATTTTTATAGAAAGGCTCCCTCCCCACCTGCAGAGTTTCTACAGAGCACAGAGCCTCTGACAGGTGAATCCTGATCCTTAAATCTGCTTTAAGGTTCTTGGGTATTGCCCATTAGTACGGACTCTGACCTACTTCAAGAGGGCTGAAATTTTATTCCAGGTGTTCCTTCCTGCAATGCTCCACCTATTGAAGCTTGACTTAGAAGGAGAAAAAATGTCTTATCAGGGCAAATTCAAAATGCAAGCCATGCCTCCTGCAAACCCAGTTCCACCCAAACCACAACCAGTGAGACCAAGACTACAGCCCAGCCTCCTGGACTGTGCAGCCAGAGGTGAGCACAACTTTGCTCTGACAGATGGTTTAAGCGGGAAAACTTCAAACACGCGTGGGCAAACATCAGTGGAATTAACAAAGCCAAGAACAGGAAAACAAAGTGACATTTCATGGCAACACTGCAAACCACAGTCTGACTATACACGGCAGCCTATGACCTAAATGTGAACCCCTAACAAAAGGGAGTTTGGATGTCCAAACTAAACTCTGCCAGGTCCTGCGTGGAAAACCAACCTTCCCCTTTGGTTAGGGATGGAGAGGGAGAAAAGGGGATGCCTTGGTTTGTTGGCACATCAGACGAAAGCCATGACAAAATACAACAGTCTGTTCCTGTCACAGAACACAGACTCCTCATTTTGTCTAGCTTTGTAACAAAAAGAGAGTGAGAGACCACCACTACTATAGGATAAGAACTTCCCACACTCAGTCTAAGTAAAAATAAGTTCACTCCTTTCTACTCCTCTCCACACAAAAAAAGCTCCCAAGGGAAAAAAAAAATAAATCTTTCTTTCTGATGTCAACTTTAAAGTTCATCTCCTCAGATAAAGCTATTAATCTGCATGCAACTTAAATCAACAGTTGGTGCCCATAGAGCCAATACCATCTTTCCACACTGATCCTCCACCTAACACACAAAAGGAAAGCAAAGAGCCTATCCTGTGACAAGGACCCTGCCAGCCAAGCTACTGAACCCCAACTCATTTGCTCCCCAAGCTCAGCTCCCTGCTGGAGCCCCACAGAGGAGTTACCATCACCCCAGGACTGCATCAAGTCACCACGATGCTGTTTGAATGTGTTCAAAGCAGAAACGTGCATATGCAGGTAGACACATCCAAAAACAGGACATTATTAGAGGAAAATGGGAATTGTGGAAACTGGGGAGATTTTTAACATTTTAAGAAGTGTTAATATAAAATACAAACTTGAACCAAGATAATGGATTACAGACATAAAGAAAAAAAAAAAAACTTCATAGCCACACTGGAAAGTTTAAAAGAGCTGCAAACACCAGGCTCCCTCTGAGACACCATGACATTGGGGGCATTACATTTTTACTCATATTTAAGAAATTGAGCATTATGAAAAGTCCAGAGCTCAACATGTCAGTCTGAAAATCCTTCAGCTAAATTTAGGAGGAATAGATCATGATTTCCAGTCTAAATATCTTAACTACTTGAAAAAGGTGATAAGAGTTAAAAACAGTTGCATGAGTTCCTTCTGCAAGGTGTGTTCCTCTGGATAGCAGCATCAACTTATTTGTTACATTTCACTGGGCAATTGGCAAATTATTGCACAGAATTATACTTGAGGCTACCTCTGAGTAGAGGTGGAGATTAAATGTGTGTCCATCCCCTTTGTAAAAAGCAGTCGACATTCCATCGTATATTTCCTGTGGGATTGCTCAAGTGTCTTCCAAAAATAGCCAACAGTTTTGCTGAAAAGCTCAAAACAAATAGCACTTCTGAAGGAATATCTTACATAGTTTACATAATAGGCATCTCAGAAGGGAAAAAAGGATGTGTACAGTGTTTCAGTGTGAATTCTGCGCTGAACAAAAAGACATCATTCTTTGCTCAGCACAAGGATGAAATTCACCAGGAAGAAAACTGCTGAGGTCAAAGCCTCAGGGCTCAAGTTAAGAGGGAGATATTCTCAAGGGAAGAACTTTTTTATCCTTGATTAAAAACAAAATGCAATATGGAAAAGAAACAGTCAGCTTGTTTAAGCTTCAAAAAGGAAAAGTTCAACCCTAGCCAAAATATATTCACAAAAAATCTAACACATTTTTAAGTTGTTACCAGATCCACCTCTGCACACTTCTGCTTACCTTTTTTTTTAAATTATTTAACACCTGGTCCTTATCTCCTGACCCACAGTTCACCCTTCCTGCTAAACACAGTATCTCAGTTTATAACTAAATACCACAAGTGTAGAGTGTCATAAGCACTGGTGCTTCCACATCACTTCATATTCAGCTGTATCTCTCCTCACAACCTGAAAGTTAACACTGACATATATTCCTCAGTGAAAGTCTGTCCTTTATGAGTAAAATACTGAATGCTTCACAAAAGATGTTACAGAGAATCCTGTAGCAGTATGAAGAGGCAAGTCAGATGATGAAGCAAACAATACCATTTTTTTTCTTTTTTTGAGAGCCCAGAGATTAAAGTTGTACTATTTGCATCAGGATAACAACAGCTGAAGGGTCTAAAATTTGTGTTAGCAAGTGCTTTGGGGTTGTTTTCCTTTTCTCCTTAGAGGAGAATAAGCTGTGCTTTTCTCGTCCCAAAAAGACAAACAACTGTTTTCAGATCGTGCAAATCACCTGCAATACCCAGCTAACTCTCGATTATTATTGTCATTCCCAGCTCCCCAAACACCACCAGGGCGTGAGCAAGGAAGTGAACTAGATCAACAGTTGACAGAAATTTGTGGAAAATCCTCCCTAGGAAAAGAACCTGTGTATGCTCGATAAGAGACAGGGCAGGGCCTGGCAGGACACACTTGGTTCCAGGCTGCACCACTAAATATAACAACTCCATCAGCAGGCCCAGGAGCTCAGCCTCTACCACCTACCCTAACACTAGCTACAAATATGGTTGCCATCTGGTGGCTAACACAGAATGAAGTTCAGCATCTGTGTGATGAGTTCAAGGTGGACCAGATTCCCTGTCCTGTCCCCTCTGGAACAACAGTAGGATAAAGAAAACCACAGATGTGGCCAAGCTCGCGCTGGTGTACAGAGTGAAGCCAGGACCTTGCTGCTGCACTTCCATTCTGGATCTGGTAGTCACTGGGGCTTTTTACAAGCAGTCAGACAAGTTCAAGGGATGCTCCTAGTCTCAGCAAGCGAGCTATAAGTAGTGGATGCAGCATGGGCAACATTAAATAAAAGTGGTTTGGGCTGCCATTCTGACCCAGCAGCATTTTTGAGCAGTGTCAGAGATTGGTACAAGGCTCAGGCCAGCACTGCATTTAATCCCAACCCTCCTAGATTAAACCTAGCTGCTAAAGATAACTCCCAGGGAACACGAGCAGCAGTGGGCAGATCTGCTCGCCGCCCTCCCTCAAAGATGCACCAGTCCTTATTCAGTCAATGTCATCTCACAGCAAACCACTGAAAACCAAGACGAGCGTGCCTGCAATAAAAGCAGCTGATCAATGTCCCTGCGTAAAACGCCCGATAATCCCTACACAGGGCAGGCAGCTGGCATCAGATGCAGCATGCCAGAGAGATGAACAGGAAAAGTATCCATTGCATATTCCTGGCACCTTCAGCTGGCACAGAGTGGGCGGAGAGCAGCGAAAGGGCTCCCGGGATTCAAAAATGCCCCCCCTCTCCCAGCAGATCGGCACAATCTTTAAAGGCCGTATGGCTGAACCACCATTCCAAAGTGAGGAGCTCAAGGTCAGTCCGGCCAGCAGCGACCATCAGCGATGCTGCTGGAAGATAAGGGCAGCGTCCGTCTCCTTTCCCTCACCGTCTCTGAGGTTACGCATTTAGCGCTACGGCAAAACACAGAACCGCTCTCGAAAACGCTGCATAAAGCACTAAAGCCTAGATGCCACATCGAAAGGTCTCCTCCTGTAGAGACAATAAGCATCTGCGGCTCCAAGCCAGGCGTGCGGCGCTCCGCGCTCCCCGCCGCTGCCGGCCGGAGCCGATGCCATGTTTCCGCAGGCGGACGGTGATCCCGCGCCGCTCCAGCGGGGATACTCGGCATTCTCAGGATGCACAGGGGAAGGCAGCTGCCACCCCCCCGCTAGCACCCACTGCCACACGCATCCCCGCTCCGGGCAGGGCTGTCATCCCCGCTAGCCGCGGCCCCCGCTCCCAGCCCCGCATCCCGGGGATGCCCCCCTTCCTCCCTACCTTCTCCTGCGCCCGGGTCAGCTTCTTCTGGACGTTGCTGGCGATTTTCCCGGCCGTGACCCCCTTGCTGCCCAGCTCGGCCATCTTGCCTCCTCTTTTTAACGGGCTGCGAGCGACGGACCGGCAGGAAGGGGGGGAAAACCCGGCGGGCAGGCGATGGCCCCGGCCGTCACCGCCGCGTCCCGCCCGCCGGCCGCCTTTTAAAGGGAAAGCGCTGCCTTACAGGGACAGCGATGGGGGCCGGGGCTGGACGGATTTCCCCCACCCTGCCCTCGCCAGGTCCCCGCCGCTGCCCGTCCCAGAGGAAGGCAACAGGGTGGGAAAGTCTGGGAAGCGTCGCAAGGGATTAGTTTTAGGTGGTGGGATGAGTTTGCTGCCGGCTCTCACCCCGCAGCAAAACGCCGCTCTTGTTTTAAGAGATCTCTGCCACTAATTGTGATCGCTGATTGTCCAAATTCATAGGACAAAGGTACTTCCCAAATTACTCCTGGATCTTCACAAGCATAAAGGGGAAATTTAACTCCTTAAGGAAGGGGGCCTGGAAGTGAATCAAACACCTAATTTTTAAAAGGTGACATGAAATTCCAGAAGATTCCATCCTTTAATCATGGAATTATTAAGGTTGGAAAAGACTTCTCATGTAATGGAGTCCAACCATTAACCCCAGCATCATTGTGTTCACCACTAAACTATACCCCCAAGTGCCACATTCTTCCACTCTTGAACGCTGCCAGGCATGGTGATTTTACCATATCCCTGGACAGCATATTTCAATGCCTGACCACCCTTTCAGTAAAGAAATTTTTGCCAGTATCCAATCTAAACCTCCCACAGCACATCCTGAAGCCATTTCTGCTAGTTCTCTGACTTGTTACCAGGGAAAAGAGAACAACCTCCACCTTGCTACAATCTCTTTTCAGGCAAGTACAGGGAGTGATAATATCATAGTTCAGACAGCCACAATACACAGAGTATCACCATATAACTTCAGAAAGCTTCAACCCATACAGAGTAACATACCTCATCAAAAAGCTTCAAGCGTCTGCCCTACTTGTTCTTTAGCCCAACCTTATAAATTCTTCATCTTACATGCTTGACACCTGTGTGCCTCTGCTCCCTTTGGTGGTTGGTCAGTGCCCCTGGGCACCCCATGGCTCATTGCTGTCAGTGCTGCTCACCTGCTGCTCACAGCTGTGCCCACTGGGGATGAGGCTGTGCCTCAGCCCCGCTCCAATCACCACAAACCGTGTGCCTACATGGTGAGGTCTCCCCTGAGACTCCTTTCCTCCAGGCTGAATCCTCCCAGCTCCCTCAGCTGTTCCTCATGGCACTTGTGCTCCAGACCTTTCACCAGCCTTGTTACCTTCTGTGGACATGCTCCAGCGCCTCAGTGTCTTTCCTGATAAAATGCAATACTACACTGAATTGCACAGCCATGAAACTGAACACAGGATTTGGGGTGTGGCCTCACGAGTGCCGGGTACAGGGAGATGATCACACTGATTCCATTTCTGATGCTTTTAGCCACGATGCCATTGGCCTTCCTGGCCACCTGGCTTTGGTTTTGCTTTGCTAGACCTACTGGGCAAATACCTTTTGTGAAACTATATTCCTTTACATGTCAGGACAGAGTTCTGCTTCCTGGAATACAGGAAGCCACCTCAGTGCTGTTATTCACATCCTAACACTCAGCCCCCAAGCTTCCCTCAGTACCACACACCAGGGTTTGGGCGAGTGGTGGGGAAGCTTCCTTCCTTCCTCTCCTGCCTCTGCACACTCATCCCAGATCTTTGTGGGAGCCTGGGACTCTGTGCACTCAGTACCCAGTACAGTACCAACCAATCCAGTGCTCTGCAGAAAGCTGAGATATGTAACAAACTTGCATTTACCTTTGTTTAAGATGGAAACACCTATTTTCATTCAATGATGGGAACAAAACCTCCGTGTGTCCATGGAGCATTTCACACAGTCATCATTTTTCCCGATGAAGACTCTTATCTCCAGTTTCACACAAGCAGGGAATAGTGTAGCAGGCACTACTGCAATGTAAAGCTACAGATAAATAAGAGGGCTAAGAGGTCTTCCAACTTAAGAGGGCTAAGCCAGGTCTTCCAACATATATCTCATTTATTGCTTCCCATTTCTGCTTCAGTACTATTTCTGTTCATTCAGAACAGAAAATAAAAATAAAAACAATTAGAATAAAAACAATTATCTTGCCAGAGCCCTTAGAAACTGTGAGCAGAGAAGCTGTCAACATCTCTTCGTAAGGCTTCATGAGACAGTGCCTCTGCATTTCCTGCCTGTTTTGACAATGGCTTTTTAATGACAAAACCTTCATTCAGAATCTAGTTTAAATCCATGGTATACTTCAATTGTGTTAGCAGACATACTATTCCCATTTAATAAAATACTAGGGCATGTGTTCCAGTTGTGTATGAGACAAGTGCAGCGATACTGGACCGACTCAGTGTGACTACCCATGATGCCAATCTGTATTGCAAACTGCAAATTTACTAAATATAAAACCAGGAAGGAATTGAATATTCATCCATCTGTATGATTAGCCTTTGGTATTAATTTAGTATTCATTTTCTGTAGTATTTGTCCCAAATGCATCTGATTTCTTCCACAATTTCAGCCTTAGTAGTTATTTTCATATTACCTTTCTTCTTGGGTATCATCCATCATTTTTCTCCCACCCCCACCTCCGCCACCTTAGCTGAGTTTTTAAGGTGAAAGATGCACATGTGGTTAAACATTTGTAATATCACGTTAAAAAGAGCAGATGTTTCAGGGTCAGAACACATTCCTCTCCACCCTACATCATATTTTGCTTCTCCTGCTTCGGTCTTTTCTTCAGTGGAACTGGTTTTGAGGGGATTTTTGTCTGATTACGTCCTTTCAAGTGAAAAGCAAATTAGCTGAGAAGAGAGTCCACAGCAAACATCAGACAATCGTGAAACAAAAGCAGCCAGACACACATGTTCACCACAATGAAAAATGATGACAAACTGTGTACACTTTAAAAGCTGGGATTAACAGCAAGTATCCACCTCTCGGCATGAGTCATCTCCCAGTTATTTCTGTACTTGATTGGATCAGCACCAAAGCTGCAAAGCATTTGCTGGGCTGCAGGTACTCCCCTGGCATGACCCACATATTGTGAGTGGCCATGCACCTGAATGACCATGTAAGCCATCTCAGCCAGGTCATACAGGCAGGAGGTTCTTGCTTTGTGAGCAAGAAAGGCTTCAGTCTCTTATCTATCCACCATTGCTCCGATCTCAAGCTTACTGTGTTTTACAAGGTTATTAATGTAAATAATTTCAATTGGATGCGGTGCAATTATGTAGTAATAAACATACAGGCTGGTAACTTAATGCTTTTATATTTGTTTATGCTTTGTGTCATCGTGTGACAGAGATGTCAAGCCTTTTGGAAGCCATTAGTGACAGATTCTGCACAATTGGAGTTAAAAGAAATCAAACTTAATGCTTATGAGTATCACCTGCAATGAGATTAAGTTCAATATGTGCATAGTTGTCTAATCTATTCTAACACTGGACCTCAGAACACTTCATTTTGCCCGACTGCAACCAGCTAAACATATTTAATTTCAGCTGAGTCACCTTGGCTCCTTTTATAGTCAAAAAAGAGACATCTGTATCTCCAAAGCTGAGGAAAGATAAACCAGCAGGGTCTCCCTTCCCCCTGAGCTACAGAGGGAGATTAGCTGGATGGCTTAAATAGCTGAAGTTCAGAAAGGCAGCTGGGTTGTGAAACCCACCTGTAGTCCATCTCCCTGGTGACAGCATGACTCACTGCCACAGTGCAGAGGGAAGAAGCAAATCTGTCAAACACTCCAGCACAAACAAGCATATTTAACATGTACACAGCCACCACTGCTTTTTTATGGCAATCTCTTAATTGATTAATGCTCTAGTCAATAATAACTGTGTTAGGCCTCAGCCCCATAAGTGCATTTCACTTCTCAGTAGTCTCGTTAGAGGGAGATGAGCTGTTCACCTGTTTACAATTAAACATTTGCTTAAATGCTCACTGGCTTAGAGTCTATTATTTTGTAGCTTAGGTACAATTTATTCCCTTCATTGCACAAATTGTTGTTCCAGCTCTTTTTTTTTCATTATTATCAGTATTCCTGTTTTGCCAGTTTTGTCCATCTGGGAGCATGATTAGAAGAGTGATTGCAAAGAGTGATTTCAGCAATGTATCCAATATCTTATTTTTTTCTTTTTTCTGACTTGAATAATTTAATTGTAGTTAATGTGTTTAAAAGTACAAGCTGTGATAATCAAAATCTTCCCTGCTACTGATGGCAAAATCTTTCATAAAACAATTAATTTAAATAAAATAATTCTAAAACAACAGCAGAAGTGGTTTCTACTGTTGATGGAACTAGAAGTATATATTCTCTGTTCCACTCACACAGAAATTTAAAAGCCAGTTAAATTGATTTTTGTTTCTTTTCAGCAAGGAGTTCTGATTTTAAGGGTATAATTACAGTTTTTAGAAAATATTTAGTGGAGTTCAGTTAATGAAATGTTTATGGAAAATGTAAGTATATCATTACTGGATTCTTTAAATTCTTATATTTATACTAAATAATATTTGCAGTAAACTATTTGAAGAACTCTAAAACCCTTTACCCCAAATACTCCTATGGTTCAAAATGGGTGTATTTCAATCACAATTTCTTGCAGCATTCAAAGCTGAAGTTCAGCTATTAAACAACCTGGTTGTTAGGATCTGTGGTTCTGTTCTGGCTGTAGCACTGCAGGTCAGCTGGCCTCACTCCCTGCCTGCAGCACTCTCTTCAGTGATGTCAGTTGAAGGACTAATTTGAGACAGTAAATCCAACATCTTGAAAACAACAAATTGCACTAAATATATTATGTAGCAAAATCTAATCAAGTTCCAACTCCAACCCTGCCCAGCTTTTTCTTTCCATTGCAGATCATGCATTCTTCTGAGACAGCATTCCAGAAGAGCTTGCAAAGGTGACTTCTGTCTTTTTTCTAACCTGATAACATTATCAGGGATAATTTGGTTATCAATTTCACCATTATCTGGTTTGCCTTAGAATTCTTTTCTGACTGACTATAATCTCTTGCAAACTCTCCCTTTGTTCTCCCACAGGAAGGTGCAGGGAAGA